GGTGACCCCTGCTCTACAGTCAGCAGTGCGGTTCAGTACAGGACGGTTCAGTACCATAGTGAGCCGCACCGCTCCGCTGGCTGGAGATGGGCCATTCGTTTGTTTGCTCACTCTGTGTTTGGTCTTCAGTTTCAGAATCCCAATGATTTCTCTCCTCCGTTTCGCTTCGGGACGGTCCCGAACGGCAGCACCGAGAGGAACATCCGCAATAACTACAGAGACATGCACTCCTACATGGTGAAGTTCCACCAGCGCAACGTGGTCGAAGCCCTGGAGAGCCTGAAGACAGGGTGAGACTCCAGACACATATTCCCCAAAACACACACACACTCACTGAGGGTTCTGAACGCATGTGTGTGTTTAACCACAGAAAGCTCGACGCGTTCATCTATGACGCAGCGGTGCTGAACTACATGGCAGGCCGAGATGAGGGCTGCAAACTGGTGACCATCGGCTCCGGGAAGGTGTTCGCCTCCACCGGATACGGCATCGCCATCCAGAAGGACTCGGGCTGGAAGAGACAGGTGGACCTGGCCATCCTGCAGCTATTCGGAGACGGTAAACACAGACACACACACATGCAGACGCACAGACAGACGCTAGTCCGGTGATTCTGCCGGTGTGTGAAGAGTGTGTTCCCATGCACAGCTGCTCTCGCTGAGTCACTCACAGCAGATCTGCCAAGCGCTTTACTAGCGGAACACAAGCAGGCATCCCTGCGCTAGCACACAAACACAAGTCATCTTCAGTCCTACAGCGCCTTTACCATGTAGACTGTGTCAGAGCAGATCACACAGATGAGCAGAAGAGAGCCGTGATGTTTCAGGAGAATACTGCAGAGGTCAGGCAGGAGAGCAGTGTGTGCTCAGGCTCATGTCACAGGTCACTGCCACTGTCACAATTGGATTGAGATTATGGCTGTATTGTGTCTACCAGCAGTGTTGAGCTCACAAACACAGCCAATCTGCAGTTTATAAAGGAGCGCTGCATCCCATCATGCTCACTGTGTGTGTGTGTGTGTGTGTGTGTGTTTGTGTGCTGTAGGTGAGATGGAGGAGCTGGAGGCTCTCTGGCTGACGGGGATCTGCCATCATGAGAAGAATGAGGTGATGAGCAGCCAGCTGGACGTGGACAATATGGCGGGTGTGTTCTACATGCTGGGCGCCGCCATGGCCCTGTCCCTCATCACCTTCATCGCGGAGCACGTCTTCTACTGGCACATGCGCTTCTGCTTCATGGGTGTGTGCTCGGGGAAACCAGGCTTCACCTTCACCATCAGCAGGGTAAATCTGCCGCTAACACACTCGCAGAACACACAGCACAGTAATGCAGCGTGGAGAACAGTAGCCAACATCTGAAGAGGATCCAAACACCTTGAAGACCAGAATGGGGGTCGTTCTGTAGATGTAGGACATCTTTAATGAAAGGCGATGATCCTCTTTAAATGTTGGCTACTGTGTAGTTTCTGGAGATGATACTGACACGCTTCTCTCTCTCTGCCTCTCTCAGGAGATTTATAGCTGTATTCATGGAGTTGAGATTGAAGACAAGAGTTCTGCGCTGAATTCTCCCTCCGCCACCATGAACAACACACACTCCAACATCCTGCGTCTGCTGCGCACCGCCAAGAACATGGCGTCTCTCTCCGGGGTCAACGGCTCTCCGCACAGTGCACTGGACTTCATCCGCCGTGAGTCTTCAGTGTATGACATTAGTGAGCACCGCCGCAGCCTAGCCGGACACTCGGACTGCAAAGCGCCATACCTGCCTGACGACAACATGTTCAGCGACTACATCAGCGAGGTGGAGCGCACCTTTGGGAACCTGCATTTGAAGGACAGCAACTTATACCAGGACCACTACCTGCACCACCATGGCGGCTCTGCCCTGGGGTTAGCGGGCCCCCTGCCCAACCGGCCCCTTAGCCTGGGCTCCAGCAGCTCTCTGGAGGGTGGCATGTTTGACTGTGAGAGCCTGGGTGGTGGCGTGGCCCCAATATTCACCACGCAGCCGCGCTCTGCCCTGACCCACAGGAACATGAGCAAATTTGACCTGCTGCAGAGCCAGACTCCTCCGTCAGGCCCGGGCCTAAAGCAGGGGCTGGCTGACCTGTACGGGAAGTTCTCCTTTAAAGGTGGAGCGTCCAGTTCAGGGTACATCGCAGGGCATGACCGGTACTGCGGTGGAGCCGATGACGGAAACATCCGCTCGGACGTGTCCGATATTTCCACTCACACAGTCACCTACGGCAATCTAGAGGGCAATGCTAAAAAACGAAAGCAGTACAGAGACAGCCTGAAGAAGAGGCCCGCGTCTGCAAAGTCCCGACGCGAACTTGATGAGATCGAGATGGGTCACCACCGCCGCCGCCAGCACCACCACCATCACCACCACGGCCACCGCTCCGCCTCACCTCCATCCGAGCGCAAACGTGCCGGTGTCAGCTCCACCTCATACCTGCTACAGGACAAGGAGAGCCTCAAGGATTTCTACTTGGACC